TCCTGTCATTCTATTTGAAATCTTATTTGGAAGCTTCACTTCACCTGGTATAAGCAAATGAGCAGCGTTAGCAGCCAACCACCCCGTAAGTAAGCATTTCGATAATAAACGACTTTTGCAATAAAAATCCATTCTTATAGACCAGCATTTAAATGCAAACAAATGGAGTGGTGGCGCACAGGAAATTTGATAGCGTCACGTTGCTTGTGCCAATCTAAGCTATCTCAGGTATTGGAAATCATCTTTATTGGTCAAACATCCGATTTTTCTGAAGTGCTTTCCACAGGCCTAAAAAAGAATCATGTCTTAGTCTGGACTGAATTTGCGTGTAAGTGCTTGCCTCTGAAAATAGTTCCACTGCTACGGAAGTAAGCAAACCTTAGCAAACGCAGTCTCTGATTGCATACAAGACCAAGAATCTTATGCCAAATTTCGGGCCTTACTGCACTTTATCCTCACCTTCTAAATGGAAGATGAATACGTCACGAAGGTAAGATAAAAATTTCAAAATTCACCATGAAGCCGACAGTTTAGAATTAACTTTCAGACCGGATTGACTTGTTACTCTAAGTCATGAATCAGGTCCATAACATTCTCTTCCACAACGATTTTCCAGCCAAAATCCGGGTCAGCAATACTTTTGTGCACGTTCGCAGCCGAATTTCGCTAAGCTATATAGCGCCGTATTTTAGTAGCCTCCGATCCGGGCGTTTTCACGCAGTACTATTACGAGCTGGGTACATGGCGGTTCGGCTGAGTTTACACTCTTCAATAATGGCAATTCATATCATAATTTGGAGAACAACAGGCACATAAAGCCTTTTAGCTTCGGTTGTATGTGTGATGCAAGATGGAGTTTCGATATAAATGATTCGTCGGGTGAAGGTTGTCAGTAATGTTTCACATCTGCTTGCCGTAGTATTCCCCAAATTATCCACATGGCTTGCATGAGTTCGTTGTGTGAACAGACTTGGAATTATATATAGAAACAATACCAAAACTGACCGGGCTATTAGTATCCTCTGTTAGTGATAATTACTTGGATGCTCCCACACGCCGAAAGCAATTACGCCAAATTTTTTGATCCTGGACTGCACGCTCCCGGTTAGTACCCACCGCTTTTTTAACGTATGCGCAAGATCTCTTCGGAGACTGCCAAACAAAAATAATTTTCCCGCGCGGATGCTGTTTCGAGCTTTGTATGCGATAATTCTTTTACAGGTATATTCACATACAAATTTCTTTCAGTTCGTGCATCAAAATTAAAAGGCGTACAACAGCTATATACTTTAAAATCTTCCTGATCGTTTCTTTGCAGCAAGGGGAAGCGTTGTGCACAGAGCAGAGCGGGTTGTCGCCGATCAGATGTTTTTTCGTGCAAATACCAGGATCAATATTAGCAAAGACAGAAGAAACTGGTCTGAAATGCAGTTTCCTGGAGCTGTAATAAATCGGTATAAAGAATATTCAATTCTAGCTAGAATATTCAAGGCTATTGACACGATGCCGTTGTGCTGCAATTATGTGTCACATGCCATTAAGTTAGATTTCTTTGTTTCTTGGGTTCTTTGTTTCCGTTTCCTACCTATTATTAAGGGGAGGGAGGGAGCAGTTTGGAGAGATGAAGAGAAAGGAAAGAATATGAGGAGAACGGGAAAAAAGAGAAAGAAGGAAGTGGAACCAGTGGGCCAACTAAAATATTTTCTCTGGAATATTGAAATAAATTCGTAAATTTCCAAATTGGCCCATCATAGCGAAAGCGCGCAATTGTGCAAACTCCAGGCATAGGCTGCCATTTATCCCGAGACGCCGGTGGAAAAGCTACTTGCTTCGTTTATTCCGATGAAACCGGAACACACACACACACACAAACATACATACATACCCATATACGTATATACACACACATATACATACACAAAGGAGTAAGTGAGTAAGTCAAATTTGCCCTCGCTTTTCACTTCTAGCGAAAAAAAGGATTTTTAAGAGCTTCCTTTTGACTTGTGAGGATATCAGCAATACTGGCTGGCTAACCTTTTGGTCCCTTGGCAGTATTTGTGTATATTGCTAATGGATCATTTTTATAAATCTCTGAATCCGTGATATTTTCGGCATATTCCAATTTCGTTTCCCGTTCATTCTGACTATTTTCTACCAAAAAATTATATATCGTTATGTACAAATTGACCCAGTATTCTAAAATTCTCTCCATTTACTGTCAGTTAGAAGCTACCAAGATCACTGGGGTCGTCTAGATTATTAGTGTTAAGAGCCGAGGGCAGTAATATCACGAACGCAGCGTCTAAAGGAATAGGGAATAAGATCGCAGCCTTTCAATAAGATCGCAGCCCTTTAACAGAATTTTGCCAAATCATCCTGTCTTAAGCATCATAGATCCAGTTAGTAAGTACCCATTACTATCCATGCAGGTACACTTCAAAATTTAGAAAACTCTTCATACTCCTGAGGCAAACAAGTTTTTCAATCGCAACTTAGGTGAAGCGCCCGTTTTGCGAAAACGGTGACTAAACTAACGATGTTGCCTCTTTTTTCTGAAAATGCGTTTTAATGTTTTGGTGCTTGGCAGAGTCGAGAAAAAAACTCAGTGAGTTCTTTTCGTCTCTAACCTTCCATTTTTGCTTATTACAAATTTATTAAGAACTTGCATTATTGAATGGTCCTACTGGAACAGGGCCCACTACTTGATTAACTAATAGTGCGGACAGAGAAGCTAACAGATAAGCTTCAATAATGAGAAAGAACGCGACGACGAAACAGCAGCTGATTAAAATATTAGAGAAAATACCTTTGTTAGCGCGATCTAAGGCAGCGGAGGCATCGTTCTTGAGCTGCTCATCCTCCAATAAAATGGCAAAAGAATTATTTATCCGTTGCTTGAAAGATTCTCGATCTGGTTTGCGGATTGATGCTTTTCCAGAGCTAATGATATATCTGGTTTCTTTTGGCATCTCATCAGGAGCTGTTCTGTGATGCTTTCCAGCTGATTCGTCATAATGAGGGCTACCTTCGACATGATTTTGTTTATCGACGACCGAAAACTCTTTTATATTTATGGATTCAATCGCAGGCTCTAGCATATGATAGTAAAACTCGCCCAAGTCATTCTGCAAATAAGAAAATGCCTGCATGAGAAATCTACGGTAGCCATCTGGGTATAGAAGTCCATTCAGCATCCTACGTCAACACTTACTATACATACATAACGCTGCTTTAATTTGCTGACGCTTGAAATATTTTCGTTG